CATTATTCCTTGTCTGGCCTTCGGGTACCTTGGAAAATAGCATGACCCCCTCTTCCTCTCTGTGGCATCCCCTCAAATATTGGAACACTGCTATCATGTCTCCCCTGGTCCTTCTCTAGACTCAGGTGGCTTGAGAGGGGCTACTTTCCTTTCTACTCTTATCGGTCACCAAGCTCTCTTAGCGGCCGGTGAGGATGTCTTAATGTTTAAGTTTTTTTCAATTCCTTCTTACTCTCATTGGAGGGGGGGGCAGAGGTTGCCTCAATTTAGCACGGGAACAGTTTTCTCAAATGAAATGAAATAAAACAAATTGTGCATTTAGACCCGGAAGTCAGGGGACCCTTGAAGGAAACTTAGTAGGAAAAAAAGCTTGTTCACGTCTCTTCAATCAATCTACGACCTCCGTTAACTTTGACTAAAAGGCCTTCTGGATGTCTTTAAAAGCTAAACTGTCCATAAACGAGCTGCTAACCATGATAGCAAATCAAAGGTATCGTAAAAGCTGAAGTGAAAGATGGGCATGCCAATGAAACCATCTGTTATATACCTGTTGGTACTTGCACCAGGCAGATACTAGGAATGCAATTACTGTGTGCCAATATAGGTAGTCCTCAACTTTACGATCACAATTTGAGCCCAACAGTTATGTTGCTAAGTGAGAAATTCGTTAAGTGAGTTTTGCCCCCCCCCCCGTTTTACGACTTTCCTTGCCGCTTTTGTCCACTGCGGTTGTTAAATTAGTAACCCCGTTGTTAAGTGAATCCAGCTTTCCCATTGACTTTGCTCGTCAGAAGGTCAAAAAATTGGGGGGAGGGAAAAAAATCTTTCACATGAACCTGGGACCCTCCAACCATCGTAAATATGAATCAATTGCCAAAGGCCTGAATTTTGATCACGTGACTGTGGGTAGGCTACAACGGTCATTAAGTGTGAAAAATGGTCACGAGTCACTTTTTTCAGTGCCGTTGTAACTTCGTGAACTGTTGTAAGTTGAGGAATACCTGTAAAAACCCTTGGTTCATTGAGGGCACTTGCTGGTGCAGAGTGAGGGGAAATAAATGAGATCACACCACTGTAGTAGCTGTTGGATTAACATCTGCTGTAAAGCAGAGGTTTTCTAATTGAAGGATAAAAGAAAAAGACCTTTCTTTTGAATTCTTGCTGGCTTCATTGACCTTGCTAAGTAGTTAACTCAATAATAACAGGCAAGTAATTTGCTACCGATTCTTTATGGGATTTTTTTTTAAAAAAACTGCTAATTTCTGATGGCCTTTTGTTCATATTCCTGGGTCCTGGATTTTGGGTGCATTCTGTAAGTTAGTATATTTGAGATGTCATGGTTCAAAAATTGTAGTCATAATAAACACAGTTAAAGATTACAGAATGAGAGCTTTAGTGGTAGATAAAAGATGTTTTATTAAATTTGCCCAATTACAATTTCCATAGTATTTTTCCTATCAAGTCGTGAAAATCATGTTTTTAAATTATCAATTTAAGATTGAATAAATAAAAAAAATTGGTAACAAAATGAAAGACAGTTTATCTGGCCCAAAAGAATTGAAGCATTGTTTCTAAAGGCAGACTATTTTCTACACATAAATGCATATTGCTTCTGGCATTTTGAATTATTTAGAGAGAGAAAAAAGAAAGAGCAATCCAATCAATCTCTTAAATAACCCTATCACTCAATCTCAATTACTGTAAAGCATGGCCCCCTAAATCTGTAGCTCTAATCCACAAATTTAAGATAACAAATTTAGGGGCTAAACTTTATTGATCACAGTTGGATTAACTTTCTGATACAGCAAGCAAACATAGCGATCTACTTTAATGAAGGCAATATTTCTCATGGGGCATTTTAAGGATCAAAGTTAAGATTGTGAAATACTTCTAATAAGGATGAGACTTCAAACACATTGCAAATTCAGTTCTACCTTACCATCTGGCAGCAGATTCTAAAATTTCACCGGGAAATTTATTCTACTTTTACAAACACCGTACACATTATGCATTTTTCTTCTACTTAAATTTTGTTTTTCCATTTACATTATCTTGATGATGGCCTTCAAAAAGCCCCTTTATTTAATATGTTGTAAATACCTAATAAGGTTTTTTTTAAAACAAAAATTATATTTTGGCCCTTGTTTTCTCCACTTCATGTCTGCTTCAAAATTCCAAGTGATTATAAATTAAAATATACTGGGGAGTATCCAGTGGCACACAAACAGTGTGATGTTCACATAGCAAGGCTCTCTTTATCACTTCTATATTCCCCAAATCTGCACCTGAAAGACTTCTAACCCTCCAGAGGAGAAGAGGAAAGAATAACAGAAGAATTTCCCCAAGTGTTGGTGACTACATTCAAATATTTATTTATACATACATACTACTAAGCTTATATGATGATCCGATCTGAACTGAATGGCTTACAGACCTCCAGAACAGGAATAAGATGAAAGACTAAACATAAACATAGTGTAATAAATAATAGCCCAAGCGTCACAATACAGTCATTTTCTAGGAGAAATTAAGATGATCCACAGGGCTCTCAAAGAAATAGCCAGTTCAAAGGTGCTTTGAAAGACAAGCAGGATTGTAGTCTGTCTGCTCTTAGGAGAGCATCATTCCAGAGATGGGAGGTAGTGACTGTACAAGCCTAACCTGGGATTCAAGCAGGTGACATTCCCTAAGGGACAGGATGCAGAAGGAACCTTCTAATTCGGATATGAGAGTATTTTTATTGCCAAGCCTACTAGCATCTTGTGTTTGCATGGTGCAAATGAGGGGTGGTTTCTGAGCAGGCTTTCCAATATGGCTATTCAAAAAAGAAGTTTCATAATGCATATCATTTACTGAAGTCAGAAACCTCACTCTCACTTATTCCCTGTTTCAGAAACAATCATATGGTTAACACAAGCACTGTAACTACTGACATACCATAGCAGGTTCAAAACTGAAGCAATGCAGATCTTGAACAAATAACATTCAGCATATTCCTAAAGATTAATACAAGAGCAAGATGAAGACTTCAAACTGATCTTTAATACCTCAACTTTCTTACTAAGAGATAAATAACTTCCAATTTCCTGAACATTTTAAGCAAGACCCATGAAACAAGTGGAGATAAACAGTTTAACTAGTAGTATACATTCCAGTCTCACTATAAATGTAATGAATTATTTTTTAAAAATGTTCTACGTTGACTGGAGACTTGCTAGAGAATGCAGAACCTAGTTTTAAGAAACCCATGTTTCATTTCAAATAGATTCTTAAACTGCACGCAACAAGGACCAAAACAATTTTTTTTTGGATGCAAGGCAATTACGTATTTTCTGGACTGCCATGTAACCATTTGCAATTCAAGTCATGCCATGGATTTTCTGGAGAAGATACACCTGTTAAAACATCTCATAAATGTTACTGGCAAACTTGGAAAAAGTGGGGGGAGGGGGGTTGGTTGGTCCAGAAGTGCCATTTCACGTGATAATCTTGTGTAAAAGAAAAGCTAAACGCAGTGGAAGACAGTAAGAATTATTGGCCAATCCCCCTGTGGAAAATTAGTCACAGATCCTATTTGCTCTCACAGCACACAGAAGAAACAAAAGTACAGAGAAACTTCAGACAAAGTTTAAGGATCCTTGTCTTACACATCTGACGATTCTAGAGCTTGGGCTATATCAAAATTATCCTTGCCCAATCTGGTGTTTTTTGGGGGAAAGTTGGACTACAAAACGTATTATCAGTAGCAGCATGTATTATGGCCCAAACATTTGGAAGGGGAGAAGTTTAACGACGATAAAAAAAGAAACAACAGTATTTTCAAAAGTGAACACAAACCACAGTAAAAACAAAATACGCATCTTCCAATCCCAAACTTTGTCATGTAACTTTCTTTTCTGTAGCCTTTTATGGAAATGACCCTCTCTCACCTCTGTCATCAAATGGCTTCATTAGATTTATTTTCTTTCCTTAACCAAGAAATGGTAACTAATGAATGAGCAACAATATAACCAACCAGGATTTGTAGCAAAAGAAAATAACTGAGCCATCAACAACAATCCAATGAAGAAGCTTTATGTAAGTTAGCCCTTTCCAAAGGACCCCATGGCAATCCATCCCTAAATATAGATCTCTTTTTTTGGGGGGGGGGGAGAAGTGGAGAGGAGATCTACCAAGAATCTCATTTCTCGGTCCCATGCTCTCCCAACCAAGTGCAACCGGATTACCCACGAATTTAATTTGGGGTGTCCTGCAGATGAGCAGCATCAACTCTGGCTTGATTAAGGCTGCTAATTAGCCGCTCCTTTGATCCTTTTTGTTTACTTCGAGGGGTGCAGTCGAAGGGACCAGCAACCACCCCCTTAATTAAAAAGGAAGGAAGGAAGAGAAAGAAAAATAGGAAAGGAAGGAGGGAGGGAGGAGGAGGAGAAAAGGAAGGAAGGAAGGAGGGAGGAAGAGAAAGAAAAATAGGGAAGGAAGAAGGGAGGAAGGGAGGTGGGAGAAAGAGGAAAGGAAGAAAGGGGAAGGGAGGAAAAGAAAAATAGGAAAGGAAGGAGGGAGGGAGGAAGGGAAGGAAGGAGGGAGGAGGAGGAAAGGAAGGAAGGGGGAGGGAGGGAGGAAGAGAAAGAAAAATAGGAAAGGAAGAAGGGAGGAAGGGAAGGAAGGAATGTGGGGGAAAGAGGAAAGAAAAAAGAAAGGAAGGAGGGCGGGAGGGAGGAAGGGAGGGATGGAAGAACAGAAGGAGGGGGAAAAAGGAAAGGAAGGAAGGAAGGAGGGAGGGAGGGAAGGAGAGAAAAAAGGAAGAAGGGAGGAGGGGCAGCCCTTCCCGCCCCCCTCCCCAAGCCGAGGGGAGACCCCGGCCCTTTCAGCCCCCACTGGGGGTTGGTCTCCGATGCCGCCCTCTCCCCTCCGGGGCAGCCCAGCGCAGGCAGCCCCTTCCAGCCCGCCCCGCTGCGCCAGGAGCCCCGCCAGGCCCGGCCAGGAGGGCCTCCCTCGCTCACCCGCGGGGCATCGTCCTCGGAGCGTCGCCCGGGATCGGCTGGGTCCGAAGCGCGTCCCCCGGCCGAGGGAAGCGGAGGCCTAGACGGGTCGGAGGAGGAGGAGGCGGCGGCGTCTGCTCGCTTCGACGCCCGGGCCAAGTGGAGCCGCCGTCGGTCCTCTTACGGCGCCTTGGGATGGCCCACGCGCATGCGCGGGAGAGGGAGAGAGTTGAGGGGGGAGAGAGAGCGAGAGAGCGAGAGAAACCGAACAGAAGTATGGGCGCGCTCTCTCTCTCTCTCTCTCTCTCTCTCTCGGGGAGGGAGGGGGCGCGCCTTGGAGTGGTAGGGGTGGCTCCAATCACGGCTCGGGAAAGGAGGCCGACGCCGCCCAAGGGGCGTCGAGGCGTCCAATCAGAGGCGGCGGAAGGAGCAGCTTGTGGAGAAGAGAAATTAAGAGTCCCGGCCGTCGAGGGACGCTTCTTCGCCCTGGCTGGCGGAGGCTGCCGAGCGGGTTCGGGAAGCTCGTTCCCCACTTTTTTTTAAAAAAAAATTCTCCGCCCTAAACGCACCTTTTCTAGGGATGGGGCGTGTCCATCCCAACCCGAGCCCTCGACGGAAATTGACGAAGGTGGTTTTCGCGACGAGCGCGAGGTGCCTTTGCCTTCCCCTGCCTGGCACATTTCGGGGAGGGAGGTGGGGGGGCGGGGGGGGGAAAGGAACGTCCCTCTCGCCTCCTCCGCGCATGCTCTGTAGCCTTTTCAAGCCAAAGGGGGCGAGAGCAGAAGAGACGGGGACTGAGGAGAAAAACCTCAGCTACCGTCCTTTGCAAAACTACATTTACTCTATAATATATTATAAAAATATATTACATACTAGTGTTTTATTAAACCACGATTTCATAATATTTCCTGGCCTTTGTTACATTTTTATTCTTTTGGTTCCCAGCATAGGATTAGGGCAGATTAGAAACGCTTTCTGAGAAATAATTTCCCTATCTCTGACCTGAGATTTGTGGAATGGTCGGCCTAAAATATTTTTAAGGAAGCAAAGCAAATAAATAAATAAATACATAAATAAATGAGCCATATGGTCTCTGTAGTGGATTTTCATGTTTTGTTGTTGGATGGGAAAATTGAAAAACAAAAACAAAAAAAACGAGAAATGCCTCCCATGGAAGAAAATTCCCACGTTTTGCCTTGAATTGGGTTGTCCGATGCCCAGTTTGGTTGGAACTGATGGCTATTCTTCTGCCCCTTTCATTGATGGTAGTTTCAGTATGGGAGATAAGAATTTATTTTATTGCACATGATGGTTTTAAATAAGGCAAACTGCAAACTCTGTGTTTGGCGGGGGAGATGGAGGGAGAGAGGGAAAGAGGAGAGAGAGGGAGGGAGAGGGAAAGGGGAGGGAGGGGGAGGGGGAGAGGAAAGAGAATAGAGGGAGGGAGAGTGGAGAAGAGGAAGAAGGGAGGGAGGGAGGGAGAGGGAAAGAGGAGAGAGGAAGGGAGAGGGGAGGGAGGGAGAGGGAAAGAGGTAGAGGGAGGGAGAGTGGGGA